TATTTAAACTGCTCTTAACTCATTTTAAACAGGTTTCAAGTCACTTTGGGCACTTTTGAGTCCTTAAAGACAAATTTAGAGTCATTTGGCACAACTGTCAACCATTTTGACAGCTTTGAATTCATTTCAGACATGTTCCAAGTCACTTTGGGCAATTTTAAGAGCTTTAGGACAGTTTTTGACAATTTTAAGCTTCTTTTTTTTGACAAAGATCCAGGACATGTTATACTTAAGCTTGCTTGAAACTCATTTTGGACAGGATTACATCGTTTTGCCCAGTTTTGAGTCTTCTGGGACGGTTTTTGAGTCATTTTGGACACATTTCAAAGCATTTTAAACTGCTTTTAACTTGTTCTAGACAGGTTTGAAGGTGTTTTGGGCAATTTTGAGTTATTTCTGACAGTTTTTAGTCAACTTTGGACACATTTTATGACATCTTGTAAATGTTCAGGTAAGTTTTGAGTCCTTTTGGACGACTATGTGTGACAGTAATATGAATGCGTGTGAATGTTGTTGCTCAGAGCTGCTTTGGTTGAATCATGTGGAGGAAGACGAGCTGTGAACGTGTCCACGGCTTCCTCCTGCGTGTGTTTCCAGGTTTTCTTCTCTTTTGTTTCAGGACCTGAAGAGTCGACACACCTTCAAAGTCCACACGTACTCCAGTCCGACGTTCTGCGACCACTGCGGCTCGCTGCTGTACGGACTCATACACCAGGGCATGAAATGTACCTGTGAGTTTCCTCCTCCTCGTATTATTGTGGCAGCAGAGTCATGAACGTCTCGTATTAAACACAGATAGAAATCCTCCACCGGCGTCCTGAGTGAGGAGAGAAACGCTAGTGGAGATAAAAGACGTTTTTGGTTCTGCTCATTGGCTTTCTTGCTGAGTTGAATGAGGAGTTTTTAACTTGTGGAAGCTGCTAAAAGCACAAGTTCATCATGTTTTAGGATTCAGGCGGCAGCAGTCCGACAGGATTTATAGAGCAGGACCAGCGTCTCAGGCGTTCATCGTTCTGCAGAACTCTGCAGGTTAAACAGGCTTTAATTTACTGACGCAGACATGAGACTCAACATGTGTTTTATTTAACCATCAGCTGATTAACCATCTGGAACAGCTGATGAAGTTCTGCTTTATTATTACTGATAAATCTCAGAAGATGATTCATGAGATCATAAGACTCTGAAGTCCAAAGTGTCCCTGACCAGAGACACGCTGAGTCCATCCAGACTTGCATTTTGAATCATTTCAGGCTGTTTTTAAATAATTTTTTTAAGTCTTAAACGCATTTTTGTCACAGTTTCTAGTCATTTTGGGCAATTTTGAGTCAGTTTAAACCACCTTTAACTTATTTTAACCATGTTTCAAGACATCTTGGACAGATTTTGGAGAACTTTCACATAATTTTGAGTGATTTTTGAGCCCTTTTGGACAAGACTGAAAGCATTTTAAACCATTTTTAACTCATCATGGACAAAGTTTAAGTAGTTTTGAGAAGATTTTGAGAACGTTTTGTCCGTTTTTAACCCTCTAAAGCTTGAACCATAAAATAATTGCCAGAAAATTCACATTTTTTGAAACTGGACTATTCATTAAACCTTCTGACAAATAAGAAACATTTTAGTTTCACTACATCCGGTATTTTTGGAGCCTGATCGCTGCATGTGTCTGATTGTGAACACCAGGTTTTTTATTTTTAAAGAAATATCACACTGATGATGTTGAGGTCTCAAGAGCTCATGTATGATACACCTGATGTTGCAGGATTAGTTCATTCTGGACACGTTTAATCCTTTTGTACAAGTTTCAAACCATTATTTTCAGGACATTTGAGGCGGTTTCTGATTCCTTTAGGACATTTTTTTTTTTTGGACAATGTTTGTTCTGTTGTTGCCGTCGAGGACTAAAACATAAAACACTGGAGTTGTGAACATTGTGTGGTTGCTCAGAACTGCTCGGCTGTCTGTGGCTGGATCAACCAGAACATGACAGAGCTGCTCCACTTCCTGTTCTTTATGCTGAGCTGCAAACACACGACTGTAGCTTCAATCTTCTTATCTGACTCTCGACAAGAAAGCAGAGAAATGTGTTTTCTTTCAGGGCAAACGGAGACGTGATGTTTTACAGTCTGTTTATCTCTTGTGTTCCTATTCCTGCTCGTGTCAGCCATGTTTTTTTTTTTGTATTTCTTGCGTCTCCAGGCTGCGACATGAACGTGCACCGGCGCTGTGAGACCAGTGTTCCCAGTCTGTGCGGGCAGGACCACACCGAGAAGAGAGGCAGGATCCACCTGACCATCAGAGGGGAGAAGGAAGACGTCTACGTCACAGGTCTGGATGCCAAACGGCACCGTCACGCCGGAAACGGAGGCTTTTCCTTCCCTTCTTCTGATTGTTCTGCTTCCTGTGCAGTGCGGGAGGCTCGGAACCTGATGCCGATGGACCCGAACGGCCTGTCGGACCCGTACGTTAAACTGAAACTGATTCCGGACCCGAAGAGCCACAGCAAACAGAAGACCAAGACCATCCGCTCAACGCTCAACCCTGTCTGGAACGAGAGTTTCACCTTGTGAGTCCTGGTGAACTTTA